TCAGTTGTTTCAAAATTTATACTATAGTCCCATGTAAGAGGCTCTTTACACCTAGATAAACTCATAGTTGCACATTAGCTGTCTCTTATACACATCTAGATGTGTATAAGAGACAGCAACAATCCTATTTAAATCACCCTGAAGCCTAATACAGTCGTCTATTCCATAAATAGGTCTTGAAATCGTATTGTCATCAGCGAATTGAAAAATTGAAGATGTTATACCATATTCAAGGTCACTTACATACATTAAAATAACAAAGGGCCAAGGACTGACCAAGGAATGGCAAGAACTTACCATCTTGTGATGTATTTATAGCAGACACTAAATTTTAAATTGGCATAGACTCCCAAGCAAGCATAAACATCATGGACAAGGCCGCTTTTGCTCAGTTAAAAGCCCGAGTTGGGACCCCAGCTAATAATAGCATCCAACTTTGTTAAACTAAAGTGTTTGCATACAACTCAAAGGAACCTTTGCCAACTTTGGGGACAATTAAGGCAAATGTCTCTACTGCCAACGGAAAGACCATCCTAACACGTTTCTGCGTAATTGATAGAGATCAAACTAGTGTTGATCTTGGATTGTTACACATAACAAATAACGTTAAATAACAGAACATCTTCAGTCAATATCCGCAATTATTTGAAGGCATTGGTAAAATCAACACAGAAGCGGTTAAGCTCCATATCGACAAGGAAATTGAGCCTGAAGCACAAAAACTAAGAACAGTAACTTTTCACGTATGACAAGACATTGACAATGAGATTCAACGACTATTAAATGAAGATGTGATTGAACCGGTAAAAGGACCGACACTGTGGGTATCTTCAATTGTTACTCCCCCAAAAAAATGGTGGCGTCCGCATCTGCATTGACATGCGTGAAGCAATCAAGCGAGAAAGATACCCAATGCCAACGATCGACTAATTGATAACTTTGTTAAATGGTGCAACTATTTTCAGCGCTGGATATCACCAATTTGAACTTGATGACGAAAGCAGAGTCAACACGACTTTCACAACCCATAGAAGACTCTACCGTTATAAAAGGGTACTGTTTGGGGTAAACGCAGCAAGCGAAAAATTTCAGAAAGCAGTTCGACACATGTTACTTGGACTGTCGGGAGTTATAATCATCTCCGACGACATAATTGTGTTCGGAAAAAACAAAGTGAGCATGATGAACACCTCAATAAAGTTATTCAGCAATTATTAGAGTGTAACACGCACGACTCAATCGCGAGATATGAAGCTGTCGCAACAAAAGGTGGCCTACTTCGGTCATGTGTTCTCAGCAAAAGGAATTAGTCCAGATCCAACAAAGATTAAGGACATTTAAGACACCAAAATACCATCTAACACAAGTGAAGTCCGCTCATTTATTGGGACTAACGCAGTAAAGCCACAATCGCACTGGACTTTTTTTGGTAAAACTAACCAACACGTTGGCTAGTTTTACCATAATTAGTCCAGTGCGAACAGCACAGGAAGTTTACCTGACAGGAAACTTACCCAAGGCGCGCGATTAATTTAACCGAGTCCCGCTTGCCCAGGAAAACTGACCAGGTTAGTTTTACCTAGCAGGAAAGTCCAATGCGAACAGCGCGAGTCGGGTAAACTTCCCAAGTTATCACAGTGAATGACCTTCCTCAGGCTGTCAGGCAATTACGCATGAGCTGTGACCTGGAATAAAACGTCACACACAAACATCTTGATTAATTTCGCGCGTGTTTGCTGTGTCTTGATTTTGAGTAATTTTGTCATTTTTTTCACTTAATTTTTTACTCGGTTTGTTTCAATGGCCGATTTATATGGAGCATTAATAAATGTGCTAGGTCTTGGTGAGACAATCCATCGTGATTATCAACAAATACAACATGATGTGGGCCTAGTCCAAAACGTCACGATTTAGCGCCCCCAATAGATGAATCTGTATGAATTGTTAGTTTCACCATGGCCTGTGGTAAAACTAACCACGTCGATAAATCCCAGTGCGAACGACAGGAAGTTTACCCAATGGAATGTTACCCACAGTCTCGGTAAAAATTTCCCTATTTTAAATCCAGTGCGATTGCGGCTTTAGTCTCTCGATTCATACCACACTATGCATCAATAATAATCGCACCGCCAAGAGAACTCCTAAAAAAAGAAGTTCCATTCTTATGTTCTTATGATTGCACTCAGGCGTTCGACAAATTAAAAAGTGTTTTGACCAGTCAAACGACTATGACATACAGTACTATGATGCAACCAAATTGTCTGTGTTAATAGTAGATGCAAGTCAATTCGGAGTTGTAGCATGCCAGCAGAGCTATGTCAGCAACTGAATCTCGCTATGCACAAATCGAGCGTGAAGCACTGGCCATTAAATTCGGCATTGAGCGGTTCCGAGTCCATCTATTTGGCAACCAATTCGAAATGCACACAGACCACAAACAGTTGGTATCAATATTCAACAACTCTCATAAAGCAAATGCTAGAATTGAGCTATGGGTCCTGAAACTCCAAAAGTATAGTAGTCAAACACATAAAAGGTGTGAACAACCTAGCAGATTATCTGTCAAGATACCACATGCACAGATAAATATGTACACTACATGTAACGATGCGACACCCAAAGCTATGACACTGGAACATGTTAGAACCACTACTAAGCGAGATAAAACAATAAACACTCTCGAAATCGCCATAACGAGCGGAAACTGGAATGATGACAGCATTAACGATTTCAAATTACTAAAAAATGAACTCTCGATAGTCAAAGGTGTTATGAGGCACAAGTATTGTATTACCAGTAGCACTCAGGCAACAGGCAATTGACTTGGCACATGCATCACACCAGGGCATTGTCAAGACCAAACAACTGCTAAGGAAAAAAGTTTGGTTCTCAGGAATCAATAAAGCCGTAGCACAACCAGAACGTACATATATATATAAATAATATATATATAAATATATATTATATATTATATTATTTTATTATATAAAATAGAACTAACAGACAGATGGGTATTGCCCCTTTTTGAGCAATCATATCCTGCTAAGGAATCTTTGTATTTTTGTAGTTATGGTCGAAAAAAATATGATGTGGAAATTTGGTAGGGGTAATGTGACAAGCCTCAACCCTCACGGTGAGCGGGGTGGGGTGTAGTCGATTGTAAAATCTACTGCTTAAAACCAGGGGGTGGGAGGGAAGGGACATAACCGCCAATTACCCACACCCCTTCCCTTCCCCTTTTTAAATATTAAAAAATCGGTATCTCATTAACAGTTTCTGGGGAATAAAAACAAATTCCAAGATCGTCAGCAAAACAAAATAATATAACATAAGTCTGTAATGATATTAACTCATTGTAAACTGGATGATCTAAATCACAGTTTGGTTTGAAAAAAAAAAAAAAAAACAAGTCAAAATTTGGGAACATTCATCAGTCAGTCACTTCAAAACTTTCAATACCCCGTTTCGCAATTTTTTAGCCAACGGTCTAAATTCATGTCAAGCACTCAGCCACGACCCATCGACCCCAAGTCAAATTTATAACCCAAAAGATTGAATACGGTAGGCCTATTACTGTATTATTTGAGTGATTGTTAATAAATGGCATCTGTCCTTCTCTGTTTAGGAATTTATTTTTGTAAAATGTTTTAATAGTAATTCCACAGAAAATTATAGAATGGTAGTAGTTTATTAATTTATTTTTTTACTAACTTGATTTTAAAATAAAAATGTGGGAAACTGCACCATATTTAAATTTATTTTTTAAAATTTTAAATGACTATTGTATGTATCTTTAATCAATTTGTATGTTTGTTTTTGTACTATTTATGACCTTGTTTGCTAAATAAAGAAACTCAAACTCCCGGCTCAAACTTTATAGGAGGCGATACACAACTAATAACGTAAACAATATATCTTGTTTTTATTCAACTTTATTTAATGAATATCTAATGGATAATTCTCACTGGAACATGGATATAGGCCAAGTACCAGAAATAGTAGCCGTTGTTTGTAGTAACTGCGGTGAATTCTGATGGAAACGTTCCCAGGAACATGTTCTAATGGTTGTGTCTGGATCATTATATATTATAACCTTTGGTTCGGAGAATGCAGAAGGCACGCGCTAGAATGAATGATGAATTTAAGTTGAAGCTGTACAATATGACCGTTGAAATTCTAATTGAGAAAGATAATAATTTAATTAATTAAATAGTTTAATTAATCCAATATTCATATTTAATAATGAAAATAAGATGAACTAGAGCAGCCGATTAGAGTACATAGAAAAAATTATTATATTATCGCTCCCTCCTGCCCGCGTCACAAATTTAGGAACTATTGATGCGAGAATACCTTTTCTTTTGCCGCATCATATATTTTAACAGCATAAAAAAAAATCTTTGCAAAAAACAATTGCTCACAAAATATAAAGAAATTGCCTTCAAATTCGGCAGACTGCAAACTCTTCCAATTGATTAGACCGGACATGGTTGCAGTAAAGAATGCAAAGCCATCTTTAAATTCTTGTTGTTTACTGTTGCTGAAAATAAACAGCTTGCTAACTGCGGCTAAAAAAAAAGACAACACCGCGGTCCGTCTCTAAAGAGACCCGCCCATTGGGCTGATCGGATCGTTAATTTACAGTGAAGACTCCACTCTCCAAAAATAAAACTTGCGCTGCTAAAGATAAATCATTTACATCATGCATTACAGGTGCGGTCGTCACTTGCGATGGGTGTGATTAGTTGTTGCTGGGCAAACAATAACGAATCAAGAAAGTTGGCCAAAGCAGGAAGTGACTGCCTGCATTGGGCCAAATTAAAACAGTCCCTCCCTCATTGATTAAAAAAATTGCAATAGGCCTAGGACTACTCTATTATTCCTGCCCTCATCAATTTAAAAAATAAAAAGAAAAAAAAAACGAGTGATAATCTAATAATTCATTCTATGTGCCCTTAGCTCGCCAAGCATTAATTGCAAATAGTACGTAGTGTAATTACTTTTATGGTTCTTCTTCCTATCTTCATGGAGTATCAGCATTGGTAGCGGTCGGTCAGTACGGACGGTTTGATATCACTGTGTTGTGTTGTTTAATTATAAAATGCTGTCTGTGTATAGCCTGTAAATAAATATGGGATCATCGATTTGTACAAAGGTATTTTAATTTATGTCTACCAATCTAACGCCGGCCTACTGTAGTAGCAGGGCTCGAAATTCACGCTAGCAAACTAGCAATTTGCTAGAAGGTTTGTCATAATTGCTAGGTAAAAATTCACAAACCAGCAAATTAAAAAAAAAGATTACTAGTTTAAATATCTATACAAAATATCTTGTAATTAGCCTAGTATTACTGTAACTAAAACTAGACTAAACTGATCTACAAAAACTAATATAAATTTTATTAAATTTATTTATTTATTTTTTAATTATGAAAATCGACTAAAGATGCCTATAATCGACGAAAAACGATCGTTTTTTTTTTCATCTTGAGCACAAGATGTGAAGTGCGCCACCAACATTAATTTTTTTAAACCTTGCATTGCTTGCATGCATCCAACAAGCAAGTAAAGCAGTGTGCAGAAAAAAAATCGCTCACATTTGTTGACGGAAGTCACGGGCGATGCAATCGGTAGTTAAGGCGAACATATTTAATCTGGTTCTTGTTAGGTAATAAACAATGTTTCAGATATGATAATAATAATTTACTATGAAGCTTAGACAAATAATAGGTTACAACCTAGGCTTCAATTGGCAGATGTTTTAGGTCTAGCTTACTAGACCCTAGCCTAGCTAGGCCTAGTACTGTAGTAGTAGACCTCCTAGCCTAGGCTAGCCTACTACTGCACCAGCGGCCGCCCACAAAACGTCTAGCCCCAGCTTTAAAAGATCAAGGCCTATCAAAATAAATATTGTACAAACAAATCTTTTATGTAAAATTGAGTTTCTGTTATGGCCTTTTTCTGTCAAAGATTTGGCTTGCTACCAATGCAGTTTTTGAAATCTCTAGGCCTAGCCCAGGCTAGCCAGGCCAAGGCTAGTCTGGCAAAAAAAAAAACTCCCTCCCGCCCCTGAATATTTCTGAGTGTGACACTAAACAAGTATATTTTTTTTAAATTTCAAAATAATATGATATAAAATTAATATAAAATAAATTTTATTTATAATTATATTATTTTGAAAAATTCCAATAAGCACACATATTTAATATGAAAACAAAATCACAGATACAAAATAAAAATTAAATGAATGATAAACTTAACTTATAAAAAAATAAATAAATTAATAAATTAAGTATAATATTAAATTTTTATTTTGTATCATGATTATTTTTTTTTCATATTAAAAATTTTCTGATACTGAAGTGAATAAATATACAAGGTATAGAAATCAATTTTTTATACTCACTTGGCTATCTCTTTGTGATATTTATTGTACTTCACTCACCATAACAGAAAATATTATATTAAAACATTTAACACACAAATTTATAGAAGTACATCATTAGTTATTTTCATACAATTTATTTTCCGAAAATAATATGTTGAGTTGTTATCAATATATTTTACTAGTTGAGAAGCTCATTTTGCTAGTTACATTTTTAACAACTAGCACATTTTAGCAATAGGTAGCTAGTGGCTGAAAAAGTAAATTTCTAGCCCTGAGTAGGTAGGTTAATCACCTTACCTTGTGTACATCTAGTTATTACTAACACTATAAGGCCTACTGCTACGCTGCTCGACCATGACGATCTGAGGAAGGTGACAACAATTCAACAAATATTACATGTTATTATTAAGGCCTAATAAAAGTGTTGGCTAGATCTAATCAGTCCCAATAATAATACTATAGTGCTACTACTAACTAATACTACCTAGCAAAATGTACACCGTTCTCAAAACTTCGGTCTAGACACAGAAAAATGGTCTAGCGTAGGCTCCCTAGTTTTAGGCCCTAGACTGGTATAAACAGCTTCTCTCCGGTAGTACGCAGTAAAGAACATAATCTGCATTTCTGCATTGATTTTCAACTGCTTGAAACATCGTTTTGTTAAAAGACCTGATAAATACCAGGCCCGGGATTTATCAATCTCAGCTTGGCAAATGTCTTAAGTGAAAAAATATAAGATGTAGCTAAGCAAAAATCTTAAGCTGATTTATGAAACCGTCTTAGCAAAATCTTAGCTTAAAAATCATCTTAGATTGCGCAAGCGTACAATCGACTTCTTCTAATTTGTAGAGGGCAGCAAATGTTGTCTTAAGTCCAAAAATATTTGCTTACGCATGCGTAAAAGCCATTTTTGTGATTTAAACAGGAAGTGAACTGTCAAAGGTTACGCGAGATACAATAAACAAACCGTCGCTCACATCACAAACTAACACAATCAAAGTAGATTGTGTTAGTTCGTGAAATCAAACAAGCGCGTCAAAATAATCGCTGTTGTTAAGGACTTTTTGTGTGGTAAAGAATACAAAATTTCTTGACAACCAATACGCGCTCGTTTTTACGCGCTACTGTGATTTCACGAACTAACACAATCTACTTTGATTGTGTTAGTTCGTGATGTGAACGACGAAACCATGAACCATGTGAGAAACCTAGGTGCCATGCTGGATGTTTCGCTAGTAAAGATTTTATCGTATTCTTTCTTATCTTATATGGATAAGACATCTACCATCACTGTCAGTTTAATTTGGATGAACTACACAGCTGTGAAAAGTTTGTGGCATTGAAGGACTTTTTACTATTAAGATGGCTGGCAGAGAGAAGAGGCGGCCAACAATGAGCAAGGCTAGCTAGAGAGAGGCCTAGCTAGTAGTACAGTAGTAGTGTACTAGTGGTCTAGCTAGGCTAGAGCCTTAGCGAGAAAGCCTAGTTTGGCCTACTAGGCTAGGGGGCCTAGGCAGCACCTCTAAAATAAAATCAGAAGAGGTAACAGAAACATCAAGGCCTACGACTACTACTATATTTTTAAAATGACAATTGTTGTTTTTGACTTGAGAGATTTCCAGGTGAGTGAATGTGATTGCTATTTTTTTTAATTTAGGAAGGATACACCACTGCAGAGAGCAGAGCACGGCGGTTTCAATATAGACAATAAGTAGTGAGCCCTCTGTTGGTCAATATTATGCATTTTAGATATTCTCGTAGTTGAGGGCACTAATGCGGAAGCGAGATTTTCATTATTCTCCATATATGGGTTTTTAAATGACCAACCAACAGCTTTAAAATTAAAAAAATAATGAATATTCATGATATTATCGAAGAAGACATGTTAAACAGTTCCGTAGTATAACATAGGTACGATGTCATGGCTCCTGACTTTACGTGTGAGTATTTGAATTTATTCCATGTTTTTCACCCAAAACTTAAGAAAATCTAGCATGTAAGGTTTACATGGCTATAAAAAATTTTTGCAATTTTTTTGAAACATTGCCACTTGCTCCATGTTATTACTATTTGACTTCTGCATTATCCTCTAAAAAATCTCTCTGACAACTGTTCTGGTAAAATTTTTATTAAAGTTTAAAAATGACCGTGTCTGGCCTTTAAAATACACATGTTTACCCTAGGCAGGCCTAGCATGTCTATTTTTTAGACGTTTATGGCGTAATAAATAACACAGACAAGATAACTAATATGTTTTAAAAATATAATTCAAATGTGAATATATTGAATTTTCTACTTATAAAGTGCAATAGCAATTTGTACAAAAATAACTGTCAGTATTAGGCCAAAAAAAAAAACTGTTCTGTTTCTGGTCAGACCAAAGTTACAGAATTGATGCGGCGATGCGGTTTTGTTTTTTTTTTTTGTTTTTGTTTTTGTTTTTGTTTTTTTTTAAAGCATGGGAAGTACAGAAAAGGTGTTTTTAGTATCTTTTTTATGTTCTGCTAATGCTATACATTGTTGTCCTTCCACATTCCACATCCTCGATTTCACTTCATTTGCCAAGGGGACCCCTTCTTAATTCATCATCATTATCAGCATTAATGGGTACGCTTTGAAAAAATTCAACAGTCGATGATCCCACCATAGCCGTGACTTTCTTCGATCCGGGTGCAAATGTCACTCACCACTGCTTGGGCAGGACGACGGACTTTCATCACATACTTGCACGCTCAGCAAACTCGCCGAGCTACTATATCGCACAATAAAATGCCAAAAGGTCCCTTATATTATGGTGTATAAGCCGCACTGTGTATAAGCCGCACCCCTAATTAGGACGCGAAAAATCACGATTTTTTTTTACACCTAGCTGTGTATAAGCCGCATCTATTTTTTAAGCCCCAAACCATTCCCATAATTTTAATTTTTTAATTATTTTGAAACACTGACATTATTTACAAATGTTACAAACTTCATCTTTTTCTATTGAAAAAGATCACAAACAACTGGAAATGCGTGTGAACTTCAGGCTACTGCAATGAAACAACGTATTCATGCTCTGGGGAAATCCCCATTTCATGCTAGACGGTTGCGCTACGTTAAAATTTCAACATCAATTTAGTTTAATAAAATCTAAGAAAAAAAAAATACTTATTGAGTATATTTATCTATTTTAAACAATCATTCTATTATTAAGGTGACTAGTAACAGTCGTTATTAAGCTTAATATATTGGTAATTCTTGGCCTAAGTCATGACTACTCACAGCCCATTGTGCGAAACATGCACTCATCATGCACCACGTTTCATAAACAAAAACAGAAATGGAGAAAATATCGTGCAGATACAAAGCCAAATTCAAGTAAAATAATTATTACAACTTCAAGAAAACTTGTGTTTTTATTTAGTTTTTATTCTGAAATTTTAGCAGATCATCCTCTCTATAACGGTACAAGCCACCGGGAACCCGGAACGTCAAACAGCAAGTTTCAACAACCAGCCCACGTGTGTTTTGTTGCATCATTCGTAAATGAAGCTGCTCACGTGACCCAGGACCAAATTCGCGAAAAGTAGTTTGGTAGTTTTCGAACAGCGTGTTTCAAAATTGTTTATGAATGAATGATTTAGACAACCCAAACTATTGCTTGAATGTCGTAGAAATCGTAGTAGCAATCCTAGTACAACATGCACGGTAGTGAGTATAATTACAAATACTAGGCCTACAAACCGGTCCTACCCTAGGCTAATTAGTTGGGCTAGCAATGGCCTAACCTAGAATGGATAAGCCGCACCCCAAAATTTGGGATAGGTGGCGATGTTGTATGTTCGGTGAAAAAAAAAAAAAAAAATTG